CGTAAACACTCTCCATTATGCTGAGATATTTATGTTGTAACAAATTAGGAACCATAAGCAAAGGTGCGGCTCTGTTACACCAAGAAGGGGCAAGAGAAGTATACGCATGCACCACTCATGCCGTTTTTAGGTAAGTCCATATGAAATCTTGTTATATTAAGTGTTGTAACTTGTAAGCATGTAAACAGAGAAGCTTATATATGCATTTGTGTCTATATATTGAAACAGCCCTCCTGCAATCAGCAGACTATCGAGCGGACTGTTTCAAGAGGTGATTATAACCAACACGATCCCATTGTCGGAGAAGAACTATTTTCCTCAGCTTACTGTTCTCTCAGTTGCAAACCTTCTTGGGGAAACCATATGGCGTGTTCATGATGATTGCTCTGTGAGTAAACAAAAACATTACTTTCAGAAATTCAATTTTTTGTTGGGTCTAATTAGTTATTATTATTGGATTTCTCAGGGAGCCATTGAGCCATTTTCGACGTTGGGGATTGATTGATTGATGCAGCAACAGTAACGAATTGGCTATAAGCCTCTCTCTCTCTCTCGGTAGTATGAATTTCTGATAATGTACAAATTCTTTTGTGTTGTACATGTTAGACTTTGAGTGTGAATGTTAAAAATGGAACACTTTTGTAGAGAAGAAAGAAGATTAAAGGAACTTTTCATTCCAAATATCAAATTTATTATTATGTTTAAGCCATATTACATTTAGACCTCTTGGTAATTTCAAACTATATTGATGAAAAAAACCAGGGCTTGTATATATGATAAACTAATATTAATTCTGCAAAAAACAAAGAGAGTTCGATCAAGCAATGGCGGCCAAGACTCCAACAAGTGGAGCAACGGTGACCGTCGCAGGTTCACAATGTTGGAAATCAGTCCTCGTATCAACAAAAGCATCGTTCCGATCGGGTCCGCCCACGACTGCTCCGGTTAGGACGTTAGGGTTTGGTGCAGGATTGTTAAACCATTGGCTGAACCCTCCTGAGCACGTCACCAGAGCTCTGCTCTTGATGATTGACACTATAGAGGCTGCTCTATGGTGTGGTTTTTTGGGATAATTGGTCCCAACTCCAACCATGTAGCTCATTTTCCTCGGGTTCGATCCAAGTATATAGTTTACCTGTATATACGCATATATTATGTCGTAATTGTAAGACATACGCTTTCAGTACTAATTATATTTGTGATAGAAGTATACGAAGATTCATAGATCAAATATCTTTTCAAGAACTATATTAGGTTTAAGTACCTGAGCGCGAGCGAGGTTGAGAAGATCAGAAGCTTGAAGAACACCATGAGGACATTTGATGGAGGATTTGGCCTCTATCAGATACTTAGAATACGCAGAGAGGACGAAGGAAGCGGTAGAGGTGTATTGGAGATTGTTCCACGGCAAGAACCAGAGCAAACCTCCCGGAGTCTTCTTAACGTTATTGGAACCCTTTTGCGCGCAATTGCAAATGAATTGCTCCGCCATACTCTTGAACTCCGCAATCTTCCCATAGCTTTTCACTCTCCCTTCAAGTGCAAGCTGCATTTGCACAATTTTGTGTTATGTTTGTTTCTTGTCACATAAGTTAATGGTGAAAATAGACATAACCTACTTTGGCCATCAAGACTTGTGCACCCAAAAACTTATCGTCCCAGGAAAAAACAGTCCTAGGACCTCCGCTACTAGACGCTTGTGTTAAATAATTGAGATAAGTCTGGTCGTTGGTGGCACGGTGGATCCAAGCTGCAGCCCACAACAACTCATCTTGGTATCCGCTGCTCGAGTAGAAGCTACCCACGTTAGGAATAGAGTTTTGGTATAAACCAGGGTGAGCCTTAGCAAATGCAAATAATTGTTTTGCATGACGAATAAGTGTTATCGCATAAGCTTTATTCGAAGGCCCAAAAGCCAAAGACGCTGCAGCCAAAGCTGCAGCTGTCTCGCCAGCTAAGTCAGCACCCGGATGCTGAGCATCAATGCGGTATGAAGTGCGCGGAGTGGTCATATCCTCAGGTCTCATCCAACACGCGTGATCAGATTTTGCCTCACCCACTTGTCCGTAAAGAACATTGGGTGAGGGATGGGCTTTGATGAGATAGTCAGTGGCCCATTTGAGAGCCGCGAGCACGTGCGCATACTCCTTATGGGCCTTAAGTTGCGGTGCCATCTCTATACTGCTCCAAGCTAGCATTGTCGTTGTGAACGCCATAGGAAATCCAAATTTCATGTTGTCTCCGGAATCATAGTAGCCTCCGGTGAGATCAATCTAACAATCAGCAAAAAGATACATTACAAACAAAAAAAAGGATAATAACAATGAAAAAAATACAATATAAGAGTGAGTTTTTAAATTACATGAGCATCAGAACCATCTCTAAGTGCGGAATCTCCTCTCCAATTAACTCTTTGATTTGGTGGCAATTTTCCAGAACGTTGAGCTTCAAAATACAAAAGACTCTTTGTGAGAGCATCTCCATAATCATAAATTGAATTTGTAGAAACATTTTCATAATTTGTAGAGACAGCTCTTTGAACCATCGACATTGATAATATGAATATCACAATGCAAAGACTTGTAAATATGCATTGTGAAGATCGATTTTTCAATGAAGACATTGTTCTTTTTTTATGAATCTTATAAGATCTTAAAACCAAATTGTAGAATTGATTTTTACTTTTAGTTGTGTTGACATATGAGTGTGTATGTATGCCAGCATTTATAGAGAATCTATAAGATGGAACCCATGGCTAATTAAGATTTTCATTTTTTTTTTTGGTCAAAGCCATGGCTACTTAAGAGTTTACTCAAACAAGTATTGACTAATTTTTTTTTTTGCTCTAAAACTTATCATATGTGGTATTTCTCACTTTTTGTTTTTTGGCAGTAGAGATATTTCTCACTTATCCCAAATGATATAAGATAAGATTCATACGAAAATAGAGTCAAC